AAAACTCTCTTTACACATTATTCGTTAACCTCATGAATGTACTATGGACATGTGTCAAACCAAATGACATTACTTTTTACTTTTATAATCCATACTTCGTTTTAAAAGATGTTTTCATTCACCATCTTCTATAATCTTAATATATAATTCATCAAGAAAATGATCTATCGTGGGAATTGGATGCTATTTATACTTTTGCAACATTCTCCAATTTTCATCATTTTCAAAATTAAAATTTCTAGAACAACTACAAGGGTGAGGCTCTCTTCTACCAACATTTATTCGTCAACCGACAAATTCCCGTTTGGATACATTTGCGAAGTAGTTCTTAGTTTTTTATTTTATTTATTTTATCTCATGTATTTATTATTTTATATAAGCAAAATAACTTTATATAATTATAAATATTGATGATAATAATAATAATAATAATTTTAAATAATAATAATAATACTATTAATATTTAAATTATTAATATTATTATTACTAATATATTAAATTTATATTATTATTATTAATTATATTAATATATTAAAGTAACATTAATTTAATTAAAATTTAATTTAATATTAATTTTTATAAACTTAAATTTATTTTATCAATATTTAAAATTATTATGATTATGATTATTATTTTAAATTATATAAATTACTTTATTTATATAAAATAATAAACACATGATATTAAAAAAATGAAATGACCTATGGGCTATGTTACATGGAGTAATGCACCTGTAATGGGATTTACCGGTTTATCCAATGACAATAAGAATAGGAATATAGGATGAAAGTAGACTCATTTTAAATATTGCTCTTGTGATTGATTATAAGCATGTACTTGATGATTGATTGTATTGAGCTTGGACATCATTATAATGTCCGCATGAAAAAGTTAGAGAATATTTTTCATTATGAAATGTAGAACTTGTTTTAGGAAGAATTTTTATTTTTATTTTAAAAATAAATTTTTAAAAACACGATTCAACGTTTGACTTTTTTTCATAAATAATACTGTTTTTAAAAATATTTTCCAAAATAGCACCTCTGCAACTTTATTTACACAACTAACACTATTTACTGTTCACGTAATAAAATAATATTATTTTGCGCAACTGTTTACTGTTTACGTATTAAAATAATATTATTTCGCGCAATGAACTCTCGCTCAAGCGAAGAAACCCCTCGCTTGAGCGAGGAAATCTGTAACAAAAGGGTAATCTCGGGTCAATTATCGCTCAAGCGAAGAAACCCTTCGCTTGAGCGAGGAAATCCGTAAGAAAGGGTTATCTCCGGTCAACTCTCGCTCAAGCGACGGCTATTTCGCTTGAGCGAGAAGTGATTAAAATATGTGGTGACCCAAGTTGCGTTATGTGGCTAACTGCGTTGGACGTTTAGCCAAATAAACAGAACCCAATATTAAACATAGACGAACCAGAGCCGGGAGAGAACGAACGTTTCTTTTGCGTGCGCCGGCGAGAGAGATGCAGAGTGATCGATGTTCTCCAACTATAATCGATCATTCTCAATTATAATCGGTTATCCACAATTATGATCGATTATTATCCAGTTATATGCGATCAGTTTGACATATATGACTTTAGATAGCGGTTATTTGGCCAACCGCTATCTAAAAAACATTTATGATATAAGAGAGCGGTTAAAGCCTAACCGCTATGTCATATATATATATATATTTAAAAGCGGTTCTTACTAACCGCTATCTAAGGTCACTCAAGCGAAAAACACATCGCTTGAGCGAGGACACCTGGAAAAATGGGTGGTTCTCGGGTTCTGTCTCGCTCAAGCGACGTTATGAACGCTTGAGCGACAAGTGATTCTAATATGTGGTGAACCAAGTTATATTATTTGGCTAACTGCGTTTGACGTTTCATCATTCGGTCAACACTCGCTCAAACGACAAAGTCATCGCTTGAGCAATGAAGCCTTCAAACAAGGGGGACTCTCGGGGTTCTTCTCGCTCAAGCGACGGGTACTTTCGCTTGAGCGATAAGTGATTGAAATATGTGGTGACCCAAGTTGCATTATGTGGCTAACTGCGTTGGACGTTTAGCTTGGGCAATTTGCGCTCAAGCGAGAAAACCATCGCTTGAGCGAGGAAACCTGCAACTATTTACAATGCTGAGTCAGCCACCGAAGTCAGGATTCCCATGTCTTTCTGATGCACACAAGTAAAGAATCCAATGCTGAGTTACCCACCTAAGTTAGGATTCCAATCTTGGATTCCCTGCATTGGATTAGACAAAAGCAGAAGAATCCAAACATATTTAAAGAGATGTTGACCCACCCACTTTGCTTGGGTTTTGTGTGCGTCAGAAACCATGTGAGGGAGCATTGGATTCAAACCAATGGACTTCATTATAAATAGACTACTTTCATTCTTTGAAGTTCTCACATTGCACACTCCTAAATCTCTGAAGATATTTGCATTATTTCTTCTTCTTACCTTTAGTCTTCTTTGTGTTCCACACTCCTAAAATGGGTGTAGTGTCTACTATTGTCCACTATGATGGTTTCATGAACCCATGTCCCATGGAGGAGTTACCTTCAATACTGGGACTGCAAAACTTGTTCCTTTAAAGAGAGGAATTTCTCTACAAAGGTTGAAGAAGTTGATCCACAAGAAATTGGAGAAAGAACCCCATGAAAATGTAGCAACCATCCATTTTTGCTGTCCAACTAGACTCGGAGTTGGGATCAACAAATTCATTGCTGTTGAGTTGAAAGATGATGACGACGTGGAGGTCATGTTCGATGTGCATGATTCAAACTCAAGTCTATGTGATATTGAAATTTTTGTTTCATTTAAAACTTCTTCTTCTTCATACCCCAACACACACTCACCAGAAATTTCACCCTTACCCTACCAAGCTTTCCCAAACACGCACAGGGTCATAACGTTTGACAGGTCTACCACAAAATTTGTAGTAGAAGAAACACAAAACCCGCGTGAAGTTCGACCAGCAGGGAAGTTTGCAGTTCACCTTGATGAGTTATGGTGTGACTGTGGGAAATTCCAAAAATTTCACATGCCTTGTTCACATGTTCTTGCTGCATGCAAGCATGCACACCATGACTTCAACAACTATATTAATTCAGTGTATACCTTACAACAAGTTTCAAAGGTATACGGAACACAATTTGGGTTATTGCGAAATGAAGAGTATTGGCCAACATACACAGGACCTACTTTGTGTGCAAATCCAGAAATGAAAAGAACTTCAAAGGGCCGACCAAAATCAAGTCGTATAAGAACTGAGATGGACATTACAGAACATCAAAGTAGGATTAAAAAATGTTCATATTGTCATACCCCTGGTCATAGCAGAAGAACATGTCCCAATGATGCATGTGCATCTACTTCGCATCATTAGATTGTGTTAGTTAAGAAATGTCTCAATGTATGAAACGTAGGAGTTTTTCAATTAATTGAAAGTGATGAAGATCTTATTGAATCATTTGATGAAACGAAGATCTTTTGAGTTTGATGAAATCAAAGGTTATTTAAGGAACTTTTTGCTAACTATTGATGCTTGACAGCCCCACAACCTCAAGCACTTTAACCCTGAGTAACCAACCAACCATCGATCAAGAAATTTTAAATTCTCTTTACATGCTATCATCCCCATATTCACCTTCAATGAATCAATTACGATCAACTACAGGTAAAACAATACGTAAACAAGATAATTTCATAAACAGAATAAACTCCCCTTTCAGCAACATCATATAATGCAACCTGGGTCACCTGCAGGTTTCCTCGCTCAAGCGATGAACTTCTCGCTCGAGCGAGAATTGACCATAGCTAAACGTCCAATGCAGTTAGCCACATAATGCAACCTGGGTCACCACATATTTCAATCACTTCTCGCTCAAGCGAAATTACCGTCGCTTGAGCTAGAATTTACCTGAGATTTTAGATAGCGGTTGTAGAATTAACCGCTATTAAAAGTATATTTTACATAGCGGTTAACGTGGAACCGCTATTATATGTCAATTATTTTAAAATTATGATCGATTATTTCACGTTATAATCGATTATAAATATCTTCGCTCAAGCGATTAGTGTATCGCTTGAGCGATAGTTGCCCACGGTCCAACTATATGTCTTACTTTTAAGAGCGGTTAATATTTTAACCGCTCTTAGAAGTAACATATAATAGCGGTTCCACGTTAACCGCTATCTAAAATATATTTTTAATAGCGGTTAGTTCTAGAACCGCTATCTAAACCCAAGTTGCATTATTTGGCTAAACGTCCAACGCAGTTAGTCACATAACGCAACTTGGGTCACCACATATTTTAATCAGTTATCGCTCAAGCGAAATAGCCGTCGCTTGAGCGAGAGTTGACCGGAGATAACCCTTTCTTACGGATTTCCTCGCTCAAGTGAAGGGTTTCTTCGCTTGAGTGATAATTGACCCGAGATTACCCCTTTGTTACAGATTTCCTCGCTCAGCGAGGGTTTCTTCGCTTGAGCGAGAGTTCATCATGCGCGAAATAATATTATTTTAATACATGAACGAGTAAACGATTATGCGAAATAATATTATTTTATTACGTGAATAAGTAAACGATGCTAGTTATGTAAATAAAGTTGCAGAGGTGCTTATTTTGGAAAATATTTTTAAAAACGAGTATTATTTATGAAAAAAAGTCTTAACGTTTCTTATTAAGTTTCTTTTATACTATGAACTATATTAAGTTTCTTATAATTTTTTTATAATTTGTTATTGTTATTATGCTTAAATAATTAATTATGCAATTATAGAAAAATTAAATTAAATAAGAAAATAAAAAACATTTTATTATAAAAGTAAAAAAAAAAATCATATTTTTTTACAAAATATAAAAGATTAAAAATTTGAAGATTAGCCTAAAAATGAGGCATTCGCGGACTCTTACGTCGTAGCACAATATCCAGTTTCAGTCGCGCGTCGAGTCGAGGACTTCTTATCATATTCTTCCTACGAAACAAAGCAAATGAAAATTGCTTCCTTGATTTCTGGTTCCACAGATTACACTCGCCTCCTCTCCATTAAGGTAAAATAATCTTCTCTCTCACTTTGATTGTGTGATTTTGAATTGTTTTATGCGTTGAACCAGAAAAAGAGACTGACAAGTAGAACTCTTGGTATTGAATTGTTGATTAAAAGGACAATGTGACGAGGGAAGAGAAGCCAATTCTTACACGAGCGAAAGAGGTGATGTTTTTCAAGAGCTTGGCTCCTCCTCTTGTTGCTGCCCTTCTTGTCTTATCTCCAATTTGCGCCACTCCACGTTTGTTCTCGTCACTCCTTTCCTTATCCTCCTCTCTTTTCTAAAGTACTAAAACGCCCCTGCTTTTGATTCAGATTGCATAACTATTATATATATATATATATATATATATATATATATATATATATATATATTTCTTACTATTGATCAAATTACTTATATAAGTTTCAATTTGAAATAATTTTCTCAAATTTTAAGTAGTATATATAAGGTCTATAATAAAATAATTGGTTTTATTTTTAAGTTATTTTTGTTAACTCCTTTATAATATATGAGTATCTTAGTACCGCAAAGGTTCAATTATTTACAGGATTGAGTATAGGTGAAGGGACTGATTTCTCACAAAGTAACAAATGGAGAGTTGAATCTCAATAGAATGAGATGCACAAGTTTAGTGTTCGGTTGTATTTTAAAATTATCTCTGAAGGATCATATATGTGAAAACCCATCAAATATCTGATCTTCAATGCATGATTTTTCTTGAAGGAGACATCTAACAGAACACAATGAATAAGCTATATATATCTAACATTTTATGTTGTGGAGGATAAGTGAGTTCATTCTTTTAATAATAATAAACTTGAAAGCTATGTTCAAGATAAAAATTTCTGATTAAAGTTATGTTGAAGATAATTTCTGATTGATAGAATAAATACGTTTCACCCTTTAAACGTCAGAGCATTCTTAATACAAACGTTTTAAGAAGATATTAAATTTAAGACTTAGACATTGAAGCAAGTTGATGTGGTATGGTGAGGTCTTAAAATTAAGAACTATGTCTTTATATAAATATAATGTGACTTGTTTAGAAGTGATGTCTGAAACCTATTTTAAGTAGAATAACATCTCTCATGAATTTTTTATAATACCTTTATCTTCTTAGATCAGTACCTGAAAGTGTTGGATGGTACAAGCTTTCTATGTCAATATTAAAAGGACCCTATTGAATTTGTACTTTAATCATGTGGACTGGTACAGTAAATAAGAAAATCCCAGTTGAAGAGGAGAAAATGTATTGAAGTAGTTTGACATAAACAATAAATGGTTGACACACTACTTAATTGGCTGATATATTTCCCTCTTGTATACATTTATAAGCCATGCTGTAATCGTCTCATTTAATCAACTCCAACCGATTCTCAATTTCTCTCTTTTCTTCGGAATCTCATGTTGCCAAATTGCATGGTTTCTAAACAATCAAAGAGCATGCACTCAAGGGTTGAATGATTGACAATGCCTCTATATTCAGAATTTTGATTCGTTGCTATTTGTTAGTGAGATAACAGAAGTGACATAGGGTTATAGACTGAAAATTCATGGCATTCCATCCCATGCTTGCTAATTATATGTGTAGCCAATTAGCTAAAATCTGTTTACAGTTATTGTATCAACTTAGTATTTTCCTCAGCTTTATGTTGTTTAACTTAAGAACTGGCACTTTTGGACTTGTAAGCTATTAAGGTAATATTTACAGGTAAGAAACCTGTAATTCATGCTTCATTTCTCGTGCTTTGCAGTTTCAAGTGCTCAATCTGTAGATATTCAGAGAGGAACCACATTGTTTCGTCAAGCTTGTATTGGATGTCACGATGCAGGTGGAAACATAATACAACCGGTGAGCATCCGCATACCATATGCATGCATAACATCTGTTTTGAAGGAGAGAATCCCACGTGGCCTACCTTAATTTAAAATGTTGACTTAATTATCCGGTGGTGATCTCGTATAATGTTAATTAGTTTTAAGTTGAAATTTAACATGGTTAGAGTTTTCTTAATCTTATTATCTCAAGTATCTTCTTAATTGAGGGAATGCTAGAAGAGTCTCACAAGCCTCTAGACTAATATCAAATGATTTTTAAGTTAAAATCTCACATCTTTTATGTCCTTGCAAAGTCAATTTCTTTGTTTCTTATTCTTCCCACTATTTTAACTTGCAGGGGTCAACTCTATTTACAAAGGATTTACAGAGGTAACCGGAGAAAACCTAAGCACCTTCGTGCTGTGAATTGAAATTATGATGGAGAAAGAAAGCACCGAAATTTTGAAAAGATACACTTATCTTGAAACTAAAATTTCAGAGCTCATTTCTCTTAGACTTTATATGAAGAATGCAAATAAACTATTAAATACAAACTATTTCTTATGTAAGTTTTTTGGAGCATCAACAAATGTGAACTTAAAGTTCACAATTTGTTGGCCTTTAGCAAAAGGTGAAGTAAACTTCTGAGTCTTTTTTGTTATATCTTTGAAATTATCCAAATTTTCTCAACAGGAATGGAGTGGATACAGAAGAAGCAATCTATCGTGTCACCTACTATGGCAAAGGACGAATGCCAGTAAGTTATCGTCTGTAGATTTAAGTGTGTGCATGCATTTTCTTGGAGTTAATTTAAATCATAAAAATGGTGATAGAAGGTGAAGCTTAGATTTGGGGTATTTATTTAGGAAAGAAAGCTAAAGAAAAGTGTTCTAGTACACCAAATCAAATGAAAGTGAGATAATTTATTAGATTGTTTGATAGTGGAGAAATGAAAGATAATTTTTTTTTTCTTATTACTGGTTTAGTTACGTTGAAAGTAAAAGAAAAGAAAAAAAAAATCTTATAAAATGACAAAAATACTCTAAATTAACAAACATTAAGGAAAATCAATTTCGATCATCTATGTGTACGATATGTATGGTGAGGACTAATTCATCTTTCTACACATATATACACAGTTAATTTGCTTCACTTGATGCCTTGATATTTTGCTTTTCATCGTTCATATTTTATGTCTTACACTTCCTTGCAGGGCTTTGGGAAAGAGTGCATGCCACGGGGTCAGTGCACATTTGGAGCTCGTTTGGAAGATGAAGAGATCAAGATATTGGCTGAGTTTGTCAAGTTACAGGCCGATCAAGGGTGGCCAAGCATAGACACCCAAGAAAAGTGATTTAATACATGTTTGGTTCCACTTATTCTAAAGAAGCAATTGTTTATTTCTTTCAACTTTTCAGAAAACTTCTGAAATATAAATGATTATTTACGTAGAATTAAGCTGAACCAAACATGCTGAGATTCCCAGTAAACAGCCTGTTACAAAAAATCACTACACTGGACCAATTACAAACCCATGAAAGATTGCCTATAACTTAACCCTGAATAGCCTCCCAATGCTGAAATGCCTACTAAGAAAATGCCATCTTCATCTCAAATTACAACTTAGAGTCATCTCAAACTAGTTTCTATAATGTATTTCAACTAAAATACATAATAAAAACTTACTTTTGTTGTATTGTTAATTAACACAAGGACATTTCTACCTACAATAATTGATGAAAACTATTTTGTGTTAAATATATCTTGTCAAGCAGTGTGGAGAGGAAAAAGTGACCGTGTAATAGCAAGCTCCATATCTTGGAGCCCACCTCCCTGGCCCAAATGTTGAATCTCCTTTTGTCTTGGGCCTTTCATCCCTTTTGATTGTAATGCCAAACAAACACACATATCCATTATTTTCTACCAAGCCATGTAAAAAAAAAATATTTGTCATAGAATACTTAGAAAAATGGGCTGGTTAGGTTGGTGACCAAGTGAAGCAAAAATTTGACTTGCTTTTGATAGATAAAAGATCAATGAAAAAGTTAGGAGTCAAAATGAACCAAGCGTGGGGGTTAATACTTAAAAGGATGATTCTCACTAAAGCCTAGGTTAGATTATGGCAAATTGAATCTAATAGGTGAACAGAGATCCCAAAAGATTAAACAAATTCTATAATGCTCACAAATCACGCTATAGCTACATATAGCTCCATCTTTTGTGCTCTTTTCTAGCCCTAACAAGCATAAAATATTGTTAAAGATTCCCACAGCAAGAGCAATGGTCCTCCCAAGTCCCAACAACTAGATCTCTATTCATTTCTCCCATGCGTAAGTGTAGAGAAAAGTCAAAAAATAGACTAATCAAGAGCTATTGTGGTGGTACAAGTTGTCACTTTATAGTTTGTTGCCATGTGCCACTTTGTGCTTGGCATCATGGAAAGTCCCTCACGGCAAGGGTTCTCCACCTTTGGATATGCTCCTTTTGATTAATTTATTTTTTAGATAGATTCTACTCAAAACATCTTGTGTTCTTATTTTACATATCTTTTGCTGGAGTTGAAAAAGATGATGAGTTGGTAAGATTTAATACACTAAATAGCTGTTTCAAACATATTTTATATATATATATATATATATATATATATATATATATATATATATATATATATATATATATATATATATATATATATCATCTGGTCTCTAAACAAGTTTTTGGTCTATGTATGTTTAAGTTGATGAATGTGATCTCTAAGTTTGTATTTTTCTTTTTCTTTTTTTATATTTAAATTTACTATTTAATGATGATTTTCTTTTTACTTTGAATTTAGTGTTTAAATATATGTAGCTTGTAATAAATTTATCCCATTTAAGCAAGATTGGCTTCTATTTAAAACTTATATATGATATTATAAAGAAAGAAAAAATAATATACTTCTCAACCATATTTCTAGATCTCCACGCTCCATCTAGGCTAAATTGATGGAACATAAAATGAGTCCTTTTTCTTATTCTTAAATGAGACTGTAATATTCAGTAGGAAAATGATACTTTGACAACAAAAATTCATACAACTCTTATAAACAACTCTCTTTTAATATTATAATAATAGTTTTATTTTATTTTTATTTTTATTAAATCATTCTATAGATTATTATATTAATAAAAGTGAGTTGTTTGAAAGGTTGTATGATTTACGATTGTCAAAATATCACCACTCTATTCAATAACGAGTCTTGTACTTTTACAAGCTAGCTTAATGCATTGAAGAGGACAGGAACAAGTGAAACCTAATTATCAAATTTAATGGAAAACCAATATCATTGTCTAATCAAATCAAATTTCCCATTTTTACATAACACCTAGTTCCTTTATGGTGTACTTGTTTGGATGCATTTAGAAGAAAAAATAAATAAAAAAGAGAAGAAAGAAATAGAATACAAACTAAATTTCCATTAGATGTTCAAATAAGAAAGAAATAATATCAAGAAATTTCACGTATCATATTATTTTCTCCTTGACGAGGCACACAAAATTGGATGAAAAAAAAAGTCAATAATTGTTTTTTTTTCGTAGGCTATTTTTTATAACAAAAAAAGTAATTGTTGTGTTAGGAAAAACAAAATAAAAAGTTTAATTTCTTATTAAATTCGATTTTTCATGCTATTCAACCAAATAAATTAATAAAGTTTTCCGTGTCTTTATCTTTTATTTATTCGCACCAAAAACACGTATTTTTTTATTTTATTTATTTTTTCTTGTTTATTTAAATTCTAATCCAATCAAAATATTATAATTAAATAAAGAAAAAGTTGAAAAATAAACATGAAATTATTTATTTCTTTCACTTTTCTGTGTGTGACTGTGGCTCACAAATTTAGGGATCAAAAATACTTTCCGTGATTAACCTAATTATAAATCTGAAAATTTTCTATCTTTTATATCCATTCTTGATGTGATAAAGAAGTGACATCAGATCTTATATCTAATTTTATTTTTTTAGGTCAATTTTGTAAAATAAATTATTATTGAATTGATGTTAATTATGGATTCACAGACTTAATTTATGTAAATACACTACTACAAAATATACTTTCAACGTTGTTGTTTAACGTCGGTTAAATTTGAGCCAACGTTGAATACACTTTTAACGTCGATTGGTGAACAAACGACGTTAAAAGTTAAATTTTGACACATTTTACGTCGTTTTAACATGCCCGACGTCGAAAGTAGGCTTTCGACGTCGGGTATACCCTCAACCGACGTTGAAAACCCTTCTGCAAGGGCTTTCAACGTCGGGTGTGGGTATAACCGACGTGGAAAACCCATTTTCCCGGTTTGAAAAGGATACATCGCTGCAACATTTCTGTATCTCCCCACTTACTCTTTAGCATCGCGACCATCCCTCTCACGACCATCCCTTTCACGGCCACCACCTACCACCGTAGTTAGCCAAAGTCGCACGATGCTCACCCTCATGTTCACTCTCTGAACGCCCTCCCTCACGTCACCACCGTGCACCCTAGAGCGCGCGACACCCCCGCTGCAACCTCCACCCTATTGTAGCTTCCACCCCACCGCGACGGTAGTCGCTGCATCGTCCACCGCAGACTCCACTCGCACCGCAGCCTCGACCTCCACCCTACCGCAACCTCCACCTCCACCCCACCCCACCACAACCTCCACCCCATCGCAGCCTCCACCCCACCGCGACGCTAGTCGCCGCAACCTCCACCCCCATCGCAGCCTCCACCCGCACTGCATCGTCCGCCTCCACCCCACCACAGCCTCGACCCTAACGCCGCACTGCATCCTCCACCTCCACCCCACTGCAGTGTCGACCCTAACACTGCTCTCTTTCTCTCTGGTGCGCACCTTCATTGCTGCCTTAACCCACAGATATGATGCTGTTGCACTTATATTTCTTGGCAAAAAGTTTAAGTAATAAAATTTTACTTACTACAGTTCATAGGTTGAGATTCTTAGTCATATTATTGTTGGCCGTTAACTGTTAGATTCAATTGTTTAAACGTTTTGTCCCCATAAAATGGTGATTGGATGTAATTAGCTTCAGCCGATTCCAGTGGAACTCTCAAGTCAAGACAAATAATGATACAATTTTAAAATTAAGATGAATATAGTTTTTTTCAATGTATTGATGATGTGTACAATTATACTTGGACTATTTGAATGTGCCCGTGGGAATTTTTATTGGTAGGTTTCACTGTGTCATTTAAAATTGTTGCCAAAAAACAAAGGAAACTCTGCCGGATTTTCGTCAGAAATTAATCATGAAGTGTGAATTATGAAAACTACATATAACAATGTAGTTATATAAGTGATGGTAGTAACAAAATTGTGACGATATAAATTGTGTATAATATTGTGCCTGTAGGGCTCTATAATTTCAATTTATAAAAATTTGGTTTTGACCCAAAAATAGACGAAATTCTGTTGAATTTTCGTTAGAAATTAATCTACTTTTGTATAGATTTCATTAGAGATAACGATTATTAGTATTAATCATTTTATTGGTTTCTCATTTGTAGACTCCAATTCCAAAATGGATCGAAGTTGGTTAAATGCAAGTCGTATTTCACAAGAGTATGAGAATGGAGTTGAAGAATTTTTGCAATTTTTTGAACACAATGGCACCAAGGTTAATGGAAAATTGTATTGTCCATGCGTTAACTGCGTTAATGGGAGAGTACACACACTAGAGACAATACGAGAACATCTTTTATGTGATGGGATAATGAAGAATTATATCGTATGGACATGGCATGGTGAAGTGATTGATACACCAATAGTAACACATGCTGAGGAAGAGGAGGATATGACAATGGAAGATCGAATAGAAGACATGATTCGTGATGTAGGTCAAGAGAATTTTCTGCAAGCACATGCTCCTGTCTATGATAAATTGAAGATAGATTCAGAGACACCTCTGTATGCTGGATGTACAACATTCACGCGATTGTCAGTTGTATTGAGATTGGTCAATTTGAAGGCCAAATTTGGTTAGAGTGATAAAAGTTTCACTGAGTTACTAGAAGTTTTGAAAGATATGCTCCCAAGCGATAACACCTTGCCTGATCGTATGTATGAAGCCAAAAAAATACTTTGTCCAATGGGTTTAGAGTATAAATGTTAAGTGGTAAAAAGTTGATATAATTATGCCTTGAATTGTTATGAAACCACTTAACTTATGTTAATTCTAATCTATTTTTCTCCCAATATAGGATGAATTCGAGAATACCTTGATACAAGAGTAAGGAGCATAATTGTCAGCATAATTAGAGTAAAATTGAAAGAAAGAAGAGCGCTTAAGCGAATGAATGATGCGAGGCCC